AGGCATGACTGTGCGCGGTGGTTCGCAGCACATCGACCTCTATGAGCCGGGATCGTGGGATCCACTATATGTGTTTAAACCGCTGAACCCAGGTGGCTCTATTTTTGGGATTTATGCTGCAGCTTCTGGGGAAGATGCACAAAGTATCCACAATACGGTCTACACTGTAGACTATGAAACTATGCACCGCCGTTTTGGGCATCCCTCAAAGGATGTTCTTCGGAAGGCTGAAAAACACACCGATGGTTTCCCTCTCAGGGTTGAGTTCCCTACGGAGGATCCTGTGTGCCCTGGATGTGCAGAAGGGAAAATGCCCAACAAGGCTTTCCCGCCATCCACAAAGCGAGCGACAGAGCCCTTCGAGCTCATTCACAGTGATGTGAAGTCGTTCCCACTTGACTCCTACCATAAGTACAGGTACTACATACTGTACTATGATGACTACACGTCCCACGCCTGGACCGTGAATCTGCGCACCAAAAGTGCTGTGATTTCGTCTACGCGCCAATTTCTTGCCACGGTTAAAACCCAATATGGCAAGAAAGTCAAAGGATGGATGTCGGATGCTGGGGGAGAATACAAGTCTGACGTGTTTGACAAGATGCTGAAAGACGAGGGCATCAAGATCTTGCAAAGCTCGCCGCACACTCCTCAGGAGAATGGCAGAGCTGAGCGGCTCAACAGGACGATAATGGACAAAGCTCAGGCTATGCGCCTTGAAGCGTGTCTACCCGAATCCTGGTGGGAATTTGCGGTGAACCACGCTGTCCATGTGTACAACAGAACACCATCTCGTCGCCTCAAATGGCTGACACCATATGAGATGTTGAATGGCGAGGCTCCCGCCATTAGGCACCTACGAGTATTCGGGTGCGGCGCATACGTCTTTATCCCCAAGGACGTGCGCAAAAACACTCTGTCTAGAAAGTCAGAGTTAATGACATACCTCGGTGTCGCCCCCGGAGGTCACGGTGACTTGTTCATGCGTGCACCAAATAATGTGCTCTATACATCGTCACATGCGTTGTTCGACGAGAGTATGTTCCCCAAATGCCCCAGCATGAAGCGGCGGGGTAATACTAGGCTGCAAAGCGCGCCAAAACATGACCACAAAGCAGGTCACCAACCCACTTCTCAGGAGGATTCAGACGATGAGGATATCTCTCGTCCCTACCACCTTCCAAAGGGAACGGACGATGAGCGTGACGATGCTCAGGAGCAGCCAAAGGCGCCCAGTCCAGTTCCGCCGCCACAACCTTCGGGAATTCCTGCGCCTCAAGGGCAGCGGAAATCAGGTCGTCAGCGGAAGCATGTAACTCGCCCAGGGAACGTCTACGGAGAAAATCGCAATCCCGTAGACCAGTACAAAGAGATTGAAAAGAAGGGGCAGTGGAAAAAGATTGTCGGAGAAGGGTCGGGTAGCGCCCGCCCTAACCCTCAATCAGGGTCGCAGCAACAGGTTCCCGGACCTAGCGCACCAGAACCACAGTCAGACCAACCTTCTGGATCTGCCTCGGGCTCAGACGACGAAGTCGAGGAGTTACTCATGGCACGACTATGCCGGGAAGGGGGAGTAGGAATGGTCAACATGCTGCTTTCATGCGCAATACCATCTGTTGAACATGATTCTCCAGTATCCAATCCACGTGAATGGACATACCGCGATATTCTCAAGCTACCCAAAGAGGAGCAAGAGAAGTGGAGACTAGCGTGTCGCGAGGAGCTAGAGGCCCTACGCAAACGCAACGTCTACGAGTTGGTAGACCGTCCTAAGGGACGTAGGGTTACCAAAAACCGCTGGGTCTTCGACGTCAAAACTGACGGTCGTAAAAAGGCTAGACTAGTCGCAAAAGGCTACTCCCAGATTGAAGGCCTTGACTATGATCAGGTCTTCTCTCCCGTCGTACGCTTTGAGACCGTGCGCCTAATACTCGCGCTAGCTGCGCTCGAGGGCATGCACATCTCCGGACTTGATGTCCGTAATGCGTACCTCTATGGTAAACTCGACGAGGAGATTTACATGGAGCAACCTGACGGCTTTAAAGTCCCAGGCCAAGAGCACAGAGTCCTCCGGCTACTGCGTGCTCTCTATGGACTTAAACAGGCGGGGCTTGCGTGGTGGCGCACCCTCAATGAGTCCCTCAAGGAACTTGGCTGTGTACGCCTTGTATCCGATGCCGGAATATTCATCTACAAGACAAAAGATGGGAGGTTTGTCCTCATCATTGTCTATGTGGATGATGCCCTTTTCTGCGGAAAAGACAAGGCCCTAGTGGCCGCTCTAAAGAACCGCTTCATGAAGAAGTGGGAGTGTCGTGACCTTGGCGATGTCAAGGAATTCCTGCGAATGAGCATTACTCGGAAAGGCGACGAGATTCATCTCGACCAAACTGCCTACCTTGAGAAGGTGCTTGAGCGCTGTGGCATGCAGAATGCTAAATCTGCGCCTACTCCACTCCCTGCGGGCTACAAACCTGAGCCTTACACCGGCACGGTTGACCCTGCACTTCGAAGTCGGTATCAGACTGTCATTGGCTCCTTGCTATATATCATGCTTGGAACTCGCCCTGACATCTGTTTCGCCGTGACAAAACTCGCGCAACATGCTGCGAATCCGTCACAGGACCACTTGGATAAAGCGCTGTATATCTGCCGCTATCTAATTGGAACTAAGTCCTATGCGCTTGTATACAGCGGCAAATCTGGACAAGGTGTCTCGGCGTGCACAGACTCCGACTGGGCTAACGACCCGGAGATGCGGAGGTCCCAGAGTGGCTACTTTATGAAGTTAGCTAGTGGAGTGTTCAGTTGGCTGTCTCAACGGCAAAAGACGGTAGCACTGTCTTCAACTGAGGCTGAATACATGTCGCTCAGCGACTGCAGCCGCCAAGTCGTATGGATTAAAATGCTCCTCACGGAGATTGGATATCCACTTGGCCCACTACCTATCTGCTCGGATAATCAAGGAGCGATATTCATCGGCTCCAACCCTGTAACTGAGAGGCGGTCGAAACACATCGACATACGCTATCATTATATCAGGGAGCTAATTGAAGAACGACAGGTCGAAGTCTTCTTCATTGGCACTGACGATAATCCGGCAGACCTCTTCATCAAGAACTTGGGCCGTGTCAAGTTCCAAAAGTTCAGAGGCATGCTCGGACTTCGATTCTACGATGAAGAGTCCTAGAGCAACCACGGACGGCAGCCCATGGCGCCAGGATATGCTTCGTATGTCAGGGACGTACTTAGCAAGGGGGAGTGTTGAACCATATAGGCGCCCACCGGGCCGCCGGGTTCCACGGGCCGGATCGCACTGCACGTGCTAGATCTGCACTTACCGCATAAAGCAAGTCATGCGTGGGAATGGACTATACAGTAGTATTAGTCAGCGTCTCTCAGATGTATATAAGACCCACCAGTAGCGTAGCTCTCCCTCCAGTACTTCCAACACCGGAACTACTTGTGTGCCTCAAGCTTAACAGCAACACCTTCAAGCAGGTAAGTTAGAGTGCGGTCCACTACGTGTGACCAAGTCTGCTCAACAGATGCTGCTGAGGCGCGGGCACGTACTTCGCGATTCGGATGTTACGGTCGGCATCCGAGACCTCTTCTGGACGGGCTTCACGCTCTTCCAACTCGTCGATGTGGCTTTCCCTATCCTCTTCATTGTTCTCCAGCTCCCCGGTGGCCTGACGCTCATTTTGAAAGACCTCGTAGAGCATCATCTTCTTGCGTCTGGATATCCACCTCGTCATTTGCGGAAATTCGTCGCGGTGGTTCGAGGCCCGCCAGGCGTCCTTGGCAAAATCAATATGAAGACACTCGAACATCTCGGTATTGTAGTTGTCTGTGGTGCCGAAGAGGCGGATGGAGTCGACATAGTGGAGTAGGGAGTGGAATTTGGGGATGTTCAGATGCTCCCGAATCCCCAGTTCTACCAGGACGTCCTTGTGCCCATGAAATGTTTTGAGTGCGTCGCTCATGTACCCTAGAGTGTCGTTATCGTGAGTGGGGTACTGGGCGAGGTAAATGAAGTCGAGTAGAGATCGGAAGCAGATGAGGAGCCGCTTCGGGATTTTGCCGATGAGACAACCAAGTAGGATACGAGCCATACCCTTCCTTTCCGTGCCGGTTATCTGCGACAGTGACGAAATGCCGTGCTTGAAATGACGAACACTGAATGCCGGTGGCATCGAGCGCATTCGCCTGTCCAGTTCATTTGGACCGAGAAGATCCTGGCACCAGGAAACCAGATGCTTGAATACGCCTTGGTAGAGCTGATGTAGAACATCCGGCGTGATGGAGAGGTGAATGTCTGTGTAGGGCAAGTCCGCCCAAAACGGCTTCTTCACGGCGCCAGAGACGTCCTGTTGCATACACAGGGCCTCGCAGGCGGCGTCGCTGAGCCCCACCCTGGAGGCATCCCGGATGATGCTCTCCGTCATGTGAGGAGTACGAGGCTCACCCGAGACAGGTTCCTCCAATTTGTCAGCAGGACACTGGCATTTGGGACACGTCCCGTACTTGGAGCACGCCACAAGGCATTGCTCTGGGTAGTCGGCAACATATGCTGCGAGGATGGGATGGACCCGCCGGACAGCGCCGTCTCCTCCCGTGGCTTCAATCCCCTCCACGCCAGCTTGAATCAGAGGCTTGAGAATGATTCTCATAGCCTCGTGGAAGAGCCTCTGGGACCGTGCCTTTCGTTCTCTCTTCGTCATCTTCTCTCCTGCTATCTTGGAGACCGGGAGGGACCCAAGCAGGATACACGCGTGTTGAGATGGTTTGCGGCGGATAGAACAGGGAATGTTGCCAAGGGTGAGATAAACTGGATATGCGGTCTTGTTGCCTGAGAACTGCGTAAGCTGGGTCTTGTCTGTAGAGATAATCACAGGGGCCACCGCCGCGCCCTCAGGTAGTAGTTGCTGCAACACAACATGTAAGTCAGGAGCCCTTCCTAATTGACCGCACTTTGTACGTGCCTGCACTGAGTTCCACCACAGGCCGGTCCACATCTCCGTGTAGACTCTCTTCTGCTTTGAACGATCCGAGAACACTTGTCTTGGACGGTATACGATATGTTTGGCGTAAGTAGGATTACCGAGGAGGGCCTTGATGGCCTGCAAGATGTCACGGTAGCGTACAAGGTGAATCTCGTCTGGTCGATCGGGAAAGCTCAACGAAGCTGTCTTCCACGCAGCCCTGTCCGGGATATCGTCAACCTTCAGCAAAAGCTCCCGTACATCCTTGAAGGTCAGTCCCAGCTTTTCTACAACCTATAGACAGCCTTTCAGAATAGAAGTGCACAGATATGACGCAGCGGAGACTTACTCCTGGTATTGAGAGAAATCTGTTAATAGACTTCTGCCCTACGTCCTCACGAACAACCCACATGGCCACCCTCCAGTCCAGCTCTGAGGCAAAAGGCTTCCACACCTCGCTCCTATCCCTCCCTCTCGGCCTGCCATCCTCGCTGTCCACCTCCATTTGGTCCGTGTCCGATGTGTCGTCTTCTAGATCGTCCGTGAAGAATGCTTTCCATGTCTGTACAATGGTGGCGTCCATTCGGATGACCTTTCCCGCAAGAGAGTCCTCTTCTTCAACCCTGTCGTCCTCATCGTCGTCCAATGCTGGAGCTTGAACGACTCGCGGATCGGGCAGAACAGCTGGGTGCGTAGAGGACGAAGCCTGGTTCTCATCCTGTGTTGCGGGTTGTGTTCCGGCGTCAGGTAGAACAAACCTGAACAGGTCTCTGTTCTCCAACGCGTCCCAGATATTCTCCTGCGGGTCGACCTCCATGTCTTCGGCACTGGACAGAGCCTGTTCCTCAACCATTCGCTCCTCAACGTTCGGAAGATTGGACCAGAGGTCCTTATTCTTGCCCTTCCTATACCACAGGCAAGACTTCGCTGTCGATAGGTGAGCCATTAAGCCCTGTGACGTATCAAATTCTCGGTCACAGGCTGGACACGTCCGTTCATCAGGGTCACTGAGAGGAACGAAGGGTGCTCGTCTTGACCTCATGATGCGAACACCACTTTCAAGTTGGACTGATGGACTGGTGAGGTTCCGTTGGCTACACACAAAAAAACAATTCACCTAAAGTTCAAACCAGTTCGAAGTTGATGATGCGTCCCCGACGAGCTACAGAGCGCTTCCAATCAGAGCGTGAGCGCATCATATCGCCTAAGATCCCTTCAATTCCCCACGACACGACGCCTGCCTGGACACTGACCTCCTCGTCTCTGCGCAATCCTTGCCATAGAATGGTAGCAGCTGAAGGCTCTGACTAGATCAAAGCAAATAGAATACGCCTTCCAATTGCCGTGGTAACTGCACACTACAGGATGGTCATGACAGGGAGCGCGGTAGTAAGTACAGCTGCTGTCCTCCCTGCCTTCTAACGGTTGCCACCTATCTCACAGCAAGCTCATTGAGGGTACATCAGGTGCGGTCATCTGCATTCTCAACCGTGCTCACTCACCAACCGTACATGCTGTCTGAAGAGGACATGTTGGCCGAATGCTTGAGTGGTGCGTAGGAATTGCCTTATATGGTGTTTGCAACGCATGGCAAACATCCTTTTCCTCACTCTGGACGATACTGGGTGAGTAGGTACACCTCAAATCTGTTCAGGGGCACTGAGGTAAGTGATATCTTCGATATTTGAGCATATTTGAGCAGTACGTGCCCAGCAGTGAGTTCGCGGCCCAGTGAGAGAAGGAACTGAGTTGCAACAAGCTTAAGTCGGTGGTTAGCGCCGACAACATGGGATTGCGTCTGTTATTCCAAAGCTGTTCCCATGCACGTCGCCCCTTCTCTCCATCGACGCAGCCTTGTCCGACTAGGTTGTCGACCGTAAACTCTCCATGCAGGGACAATCAAGCTTGGAAAGTAACTCTGACAGCGGGTCCGTGCCCGGCTCAGACGACTACGGCTCTGGGTGCAGTATACCTGGTTCCGACTCAGACTACACTGAGCCTGGCACACCCGTCGATCTTCACCATCCCGTCGAGGTGGCCCTCTACTCGCCCAGCCGCTCTTTGGACGAGGACCAAGGGTATGCCGTGACTCTCCCAAAATCTATATCTCGCGAGGACTACTCCCGGCGCTCCCTGGCGATCTCTCCCTCCTCTGGTCCCACTTCCGCCGACATAATGCCTCAATTTCTCAAACTCATCAGGAGCCCAGACCTTTGCGAAGGAGACGAATACCGGCTTTCCAAATACTTCACTCAGATTTGGAACCTTCAGCTGGAGTGGCAGAATGCCGGTTGCGAAGGCTGGGTGACGAAGGTAACATTACTAGTAGGCTATGATGCGGCCGTCATGTAACATCATTGTCAGGACATTACAGACGGTATGAATGAGCAGCTGTATGAGCTCATGCAGAAGAAGGTGGATGCTATGCGGGAGTGGGAGTTGGGCGAGGGAGAGTACCGGTGTTGGTTGCTGTTCATACGATGTATAAGGTGAGCAGCAATACGTAATGTGAATATGAGATGAGTACCTGACTATCTCTAGAATGGACTTCTGGCCTAAGCAGGGTAAAGCCGTCGTCATTGCGCCGACCTTCCAAGAGGACATGGCGTACTCTATGACAAAGCGCTTCGGCAACACGTTCAAAGAGAGCGATCTCAACCCCATTCAGTCTGCGTTGACCATACCGTCCGACATGGTTGTGAAAGCCCCGGACGTGCACTTCAGCTTCAGGTACAACACTGTGCTCAAGGAACCCCGTAGCAATGCGGCGTCAATGCCCTTCTTCTGTGTAGTTGCTCAGAGCTCCGAAGAGTTCCTGTATGAAACCAAGAAGGTACGTCCCGTACATTTGTACTACTTCTGGTTTTGTTTTAAAGCCTGGAATAGCTGGCGTGGGTCGTGGAGTCTAACGCCCTCTGCGGGCTGCAAGGATTTCTTGTTGCCCTTGTCGCCGAGGTCGACGAGATCACCACCCCTGACAAGCTGTACTTCCCCAACGCTTTACGCCTGCTAATACTCCATCTCAACACCATCAACAAGGCCAGCAACCTGAATATTCGTTATCCCAAAGGTCCTCCGCCCCAGATGGTGTGTTGCACGGCATACTACGAACGTGAGCTGTTTCCTGCATTCGTGGAGCAAGCGAGATCCGCCACCTCTGTGACGGACTGGTCCAACAGCGACCGCTTCATGGTAAGTGTTCATACCGCTGTCTCTCACTAAACTGACAATATTGATTACTTGGCAGTGGTTGACGTCCATGCGCAATGGACCGAGCGTCTTCCCACCGGATCGATGGACGATATTCGCGCAATGTGTCCGCTCAATCGTCGACGGCTATGCCGCTGAAGCACGGACAACCGCCTCACCCAGCTCCACCTATCCAAAGCACACCGTAACGGATGAGGAGTACCGTACGGCGCTCCTCCGCATCCTCCCGCAATCCCTCGCGAGCGACCTGCAACAGGTCGTGTTCCAGGTTTTGGAGGGGATCGTGTCAGTCAGGGCGGGCAAGCGCAGGGTCACACGGCTTGCGGCGGCGAGTCCTTACAAGACTGAGGGGCTGTCCAGGTACGACGTCATAGTGTAGTATGTATATGCACTGGAACTACTTCAACGATGATATGATACCCGTGTCTGCTTTATGCCTCTGGCCAGAGAATGCCACCCCAAGAGCGCCCGAGTGGGACGCTGAGTCCCGCGTTAAGTCCGAAGTCCCTTCTCTGTGAGAAGAGAAGGACATGCGGACTTGCACTGCGTGCAGCGCGTGCAGCACTGGGCGGATTGGCCATCAGGAAAATCTGGATTCGCGAATGAGAACTCATAATGCATAATGAGGCATAATCGCGCAAAATGTGACCTAATTAGCTGAATTAGAGATTAGATAACTTTACGTTGCCCCCTTCCTAATTAGATCTAAACAACACTCATGGAGAACGGATTCTCACTACTTCATGGAGGATGTGGTCTCGGTGAGGCTATGTTATCTCACAAATCTGCATGCTATTTCATACTATACACACAATACTTCCCACCAATCACGGCGTAGCGGCTGTAGTGACATCGTATCACACCATGTAGGATCATACTAATTGATTGGGTGCCAATATAGTGATGGTAAGTAGGTTCAGTATCAAACGAGCGTAGGTATATGCGTGCCCAGCCCCGCCGTGCCAGTGGTAGGACTCTACCCGCGGGTGTGCTGATGTGTACCCATACCCGCCCCGGGTACAGACCCGTCGCAGGCTGTGAATTGCCGGGGGCTTACCCGTACCCGTACCCGCTACACGGGTACGGGTCATGTGCAGGTTCGCGGGTCTGCGGGTCCATGTACGGGTGGGCAAGCAGAGGGAGTGGGCAGAAGGGCGGAGAGGCTCGCGTAGGCGGGCGGGTGGGCGAGCGAGCGATTGCGCAGGAAAGCGGGCGGCACCCGTTGTCCTGACTCCTCGCTGTGCTCCCCACCATCTTCCTCGCCCGTGCGTACCCACCATCGACTCGCGCGTGCCAGCGAGCCTTTCGCCCACCCGTCTTCTCGTCTTCCCGTCCTGCGTCCCGTCTGCACATGCCGCCTGCGAGCCCTCCCGTTTGCTCGTTGGTGTCTGCACCCACCCTTCGCTCGCCGCTGATCGGCCATGACTGTGTGCTGGGCATTCACCCTGCGCGCTCGTGGTCGATATGCGTGCCGTGCTGACTCACCTGCGCGTACGTTCGTCAAACCGTGTTCTGCGCGCGGTTGCTGTGTGCGTCGTTGCCTGTTGTGTGACCGCCCGCCCGCCTATCGGCCATGACTGTGCAGGGCATCCGCCCTCCTCTGTTCCCGCTTGCCTACTTCCCTGCCCAACGTCCCATCCGCCTGCCTGGCCGCCTACTCGTTCGCTTTCCCGCTCGTCCGTTCGGTCGCTCGTCTGTTCGGTCGCTCGTCTGTTCGGTCGCTCGTCCGCCCGTCCGCGCGCTCGCTATCCCACTTGCCTGCCCGCTGTCCCGCTCGCCTGCCTGTGCGCTCGTCTGCCTGTGCGCTCGTGTTCCCACTGGCCCGCCCGCCTGCCTGTGCGCTCGCCGGCCACGTCTGCATGCTGGGCATTCGCCCAGCACGCTCGTGATTGACGTGCTTGTGTTGTTGGTCCGCGCCAGTCGCCGCCCGTTGTTGCTAACGCTCGTCCACCCGCCAACTCACTCGCTCGCTCGCCGTCCCGCTCGCTTGCCATTCTGCTCGCACGCCCGCCCGTCCACCCGTCCGCCCGATGGCTCCTGACTGTTTGTCGGCTTTGTATGCGTGCTCGCGGTCGTCGTACGCGTCGCGCAGCACATTGACGTGTCCTGCACCTGCCGTGAGTGAGCCCGCGCGCGTATGCCTGCACTCGCCTGTAGACCCTCACCCTCGCCCTCATCGCGCCCTCGCCCTCGCCCTCGCCTCGCTCTCGCCCGTCCCCGCACTCCACGCCGGCCGTCCGGTCGTCGCTGCGCCCAGGCCCGTGGTGTGTTCGTCGGCTGCGGTGTGCAGTATGGTCATTGATCAGTGATCGTCCTGGTAGCACGGTCACGATGCAGGCGTCGTTTTGTGCTCCCAGGCCCGAGGAGATCATCCTCGTGCACCAATAGGATGCGAACACGACGCAGAGCACATCCTTCCCGAGCACTTCCCGGAGCAGCTTCCATTCGGCTAAGAAACAGTGCGTGAGTACGGGTGGGTGGACAAGAACAGGCGGGCAGTCGAGAAGCCGCGAGCGAGTGTACAGGCAAGAGGCAGGCTCTGAACCGAGGGTGGGCGCGAGAAGTCGAGGGCGCGGGCACGAGAAGAACGGCGTGCTACAGTTTACCTAGTATGGGGGTGATGACAAGCAGTTAAGAACAGGTGGATGTGTGAGATAGCAAGATGGCGAAGAAGGGCGGGTAGTAGGCGAGGCGAGGGTGGGCAACGAGTGCGGGCGGACTGGCAAGCTGGCAGATGAGCCGGCAGATCAGTGAACAAGCAGGGGAGTATGCCAGTGGGCAAGACGGCGGCGGACAGGCAAGGAAGTGGACGAGCGAGTTGGCGAGAAGGCGAGCCTGAGCAGATGAGAGCGGGCAACCGAGTGGGCGAGCGAGCAGGCGTGTGAGAGCAACGGCGAGCAGGCAAGGATGAGTAATCGGGCGAGAGCGGGAGGGAGGGTACAAGCATGAAGGCGAGGGCAGCAGGCGAGACAGTCGGCGAGGACAGACAAGTAAAAACGCTAGTTAGGGCAGGCAGGCATGAACGGGCGGGCGTGAGAGGGCCAACGGATGGGAAGCACAAATACGCGGGATGCGCAGACGAGCAGGCAAGTAGGCACCGCGAGCTCGTTGCTCATTGATGCACCTACTCACACAGCGAAGAGTTGGGAACAAGAATCATCAGTGAGTGCGCTGAAGACTCACCTTCAAGTATTTTTCGTGCCTCCGCATTCCTTTTGTTCACCACTCCAACCCCTCGTCCTCCGCTTCCTTTGTCTGCGCTCATTGCGGCGTGTCGTCTCGGGGCCGTTAAATCTTCAGCTTCAGCTTTTGAATGCTGTGGCGAAGGTTAGGATGAGAGAATGGGCGCAAACGTCGTCGCGCCGTGAGAGCACAAAGTCCCAAGCGCCGGTTCCGGCCTTTCCCGCGCATATGTGGTTCGCGCTAGCAGCAAGCGCCGGCGTAAGTTCTGAGCTACTTACGACCAGCCACGACGCCTCACGACGCCTGCCCAACCGCACCTCAAGAGACTTGTGGTCTATCTCAGCAGATCTACTGCGCGCTCGACCGCCTCTTCTCGAACCTGCGTGTCTCTGGGGCATGCAACTTGGCCAGGCGAACTCGGGCTCGCGCGATGCGCATCTAACATGACGAGCGTGGGATGGAAGGGACAGCAAGACGAAGGACGAGGAGGGGCGGCAGATTGAATGACGAATACGAGGAGAGGGATGACCATAGCAAGGGTGCGCACAACAGCTTGTAAGTCAGAGGTACGTACGCCTTTGTTGACTCCTGACTCGGACTCTAATACTCCCCGCCCTACTTGTCACAGTTCCCTAGTGCTGCCCGTGCGCCCGTGCGACCCGGCATATCGACGAACAGTCAATTCATCGCGCCTACTCGCCACCGGCCAGTGTGCCTGCTCGTCTGGTTATCCGCAGCCTTTTGATGGTCTGCTCACTCGTTCGCCGGCATTTACCCACTCGCTCGCTCTGCCTATCTACCTACTCGCCTGCCCCTTCCTCACTCATATGGATGCCTTTTTGCCTGCCGCATTGTTTGCCCTCCCGCCTGCCTCTTCGTTCGACTAGTACCCGGCACTTGTTGACCTCCTGATCATAGTTCTACTCTGTCTGCACAACCATCTTACCCCCCGTCAGGTCCCCGCCACACTCCTCACGTCCAAATCTACTCGTCCGCGCCCGCCTCCTGTCATATCCGATACAACACTGCCTAATCCGGTCCGTCTCGCCATCCCGAAAATGGATGGCGACCGCTCGCCACCCTCCGCCCTCGACACTCTCCCTACCTCCCTCACGCCATCTTCGACCGTCTACTCGCTCCCGAGTCCTGGCTTCTACCTGGCGTCTCTTCTCACTCCGTTCGTCGTCCCGTCGCAGTCTCACGTCCCCGCGCCCTGCCCACCAGCAGCCACGATGCGCGACTGCATCCCCGTCTCACACCGTCCGCCGCCTCATCAGAGTTTGGACCACACACGGCCACATTGCACAGGTCTCCTGTCGCCCTCCCTGCCAACATCTCACGTCCCCGCACCCCATCCGCCAGCAGCCACAGTGCGCCACTCACTCGCCCGCCCGCCTGCTGCCTGTCCAGTCGTGCGTCTGTCTACGCATCTACTCATCCACAACTTGCTCATCGTAGTATCACTCCACTTACTTCCCTGGCTTGCCCGTCCATTCTCTGGCCTACTCATGCACTTGCCTATCCACCTGCCCACATATTTGCACGCCCGCCTGCATGCTTGCCTACCCTACCCACCCGCGTATTGACCTGACCACGCGCCGGAATATCCGCTACCGCCCGCGCGCCCGCATACTCATTTGTGCATCCCCCATGTGTACGAACCTGGCGCCCATTAACCCCACTCGTGGTTTGCATGACCCGCACTCGTGCGTGATCTGTATGGTGACCGTCACGAGTAATGGCTTGGGTGTGAGATGCTATGGGGATTCGTAGAATAGCTAACACATAGGAGTTGTCGTCATTATGTTGAAGATGGCCTTGTCGACCATTGACTGTTGCGTTGCTTAGTGTAGCATACAGCATTTGTATTCAGTCATACCACACAGCAATAGAATCATTGTTGAACTACTCGTAACAAGCATCGTGCACGTTGTATGATGTACCACTTTAGCAACAATTAGGGAACAACCTCGTCACTGTGTCTAATAGGATCATACATGTACTAATACTGTATCCAGTAGATGTTATTATCACAGAATTAGCTCGCGGAGTTCGGTGAGTACTCATGAGACGTGTTAGCAACAATTTGACACAATTTATTACACATTGCGGAATCTGGATTTTCCTGATGGCCTGTCCGCCTCTCCTTCACACCCGCGATGGCGGTAGGCGATGTTCACATCGGTGTCCAGCACCTCGCTCACAGATTCATTGATCTGTGCTCCCAGGACTGCGCATCTCTGGCGGGCATGACAGAGCCCACCACCACCAACGATGAGCTCTCTGTTGGCGGTTTCCGGCCAGACTGTGTGGTCAGACTCATGGTGGGCCTACACCCCGCCAAGGGCCTCTATGTGGAGGTTCACTCCTCGGAGAGCATGGCCCATGGAGTCAACAAGGTGAGCCGCCATCGGAACTGAGCCACCTTGCCCACTGATTGTTGAGCAGCTGGTAGAGGAATGCGACGCCGGCGCCCATGCCGTTCTTGGGACCATCTTCTTCGCTGCATCGGAGGGCCAAATGAAGAAGCCTGAGCCTGAGGTGCTGAGGCAGTGGAAGGAGCAGGCAGGCAACCAGGACAAAAGGGACCCCTCTTCCTGGGGCCTCTGGGGCTTCATGGGGACTGAAGGGACTGGCAGCAGCGCCGCCACATGGCATCTGCATAGGGCACGGGAGGTTCAGGCGTTGAGGAAGGTCAACAGGGAGCATACCACGCCCCACATCAGTTTCAATCGCCATGCGATCGTAGGAGCTCTAAGCGGGTACGCCATCTTCATCCCATCGGTGTCGTACAACGCGCTACGACAACGCCCTCCATACCCTGGATGCGAGAAGTGGACAGCGAGGGAACTCAAGCTTTACTTTGGGCACATGGTGAGTGCCCCCTCTCCATCTAGACTGAGCTGAACTGACGTTCAGCAGGCCATCACGCCAAACGGCGAAAGCCTCGACTTCGAAAAATGCTCTGGGAAGGCCAGGGCGTTTTTCTACAATGTCTTCAAAGGTTACCTGGCCGCGGCTAGGTACAACATAACCATCATGTCCCAGGAGTTGAGCCTCCTCAACTCCATCGACGACCTCGACAACCTTGACGACCTCGATGACCTACAAGACGACCTCAGCACCTCTGACAGACGTCGAATCAACGTCCTACTGGGCGAGGTCAACGATTTCGCGGCCTTCAACGACGATGAATCTGATACGGACGATCGAGGGTGGTTCGAAGACAGCCAATTGTACAACAGGCTGGGGGCTGACGGCCTGCAGTGGCTATCCATGGACTGGTCGAAAAGCATGGTGTACTTTGCTCAGTCTCTCGCTCAAGCTCAACTCAGACAGTGGTTTGGATGGCCATAGATGTAGCTGTACGTATTTGTAGCATGAAATGTATTGCTTGTAACGTGTTCCAAATGTGTTCCAACTCATACTACCCTCGGGACATCGGCGCCTAATAACTTCTACGTCGTCATGACTCCCACACTACAACACATTCTGAAGCTCTCCGAAGAAGAGAGTCAGGCGCTTCAATTGCTCTTGACGAAGTACGAAGACTTTCACTCTGCTCTGCCTGCTGTGCGGGATAGACTTCAATTGATCAGCGATGCCTTGAAGGGCGATGGGGAGGAGATACCCAACGGTGAGTGCAATTGACTCAGGTGCTGTACGTAGTAGTCTGACAACATATTGCAGGCAATCCGAACTCAGATGGCCATGAAGAACCCAGTCTGCGTCGTTCAAATTGCTGCCAGAACTCCAAGAAGTCGACGCATCACCGGGTCTCTCAGACCGCAAAGCTTGACAAGCAACCCCCCAAACCTGGGAGAAGAGCAGACAGAGGAGTGCTACCTCCCCCGCACTGCAAGAGCGGCTCCTCAGTTAAGAAATGGGTGAGGCGTCGAGACCCGTTCAACCAGTCAACGCCAGCCATCAGAGTGTTCTTTGCACGTCTCTCTGCATCCATCGACTTAGCCTCAGACCGCAGCCGCTCTCAGCTATCATCCGTGCGGGCGCTGCTAGAACAAGGAGACGATGGAACCGGATTCCTGGACAACACTCTTGAATTGATTGTTCAAAGATGTACGCGAATTACAACCGCTGACCAATGTGTCAGTTTCCTCGTCATTGTGCATTACATGCAGTTGGTCTGCAAAACCTCTAAGTCAGTGAAACATATTTGGTCATCGCGTTTATTAATCTGAAGTTGCTTGGATAGCATAAGACGTGCAAGCAATCTGAGCGTATGCCAGGTGTATGAGAAGCACATCAGCGGTCGCCCTTCCTCGCCAAGCCAGCGAACATTCTGCCACTGGAACGAGATTGGAAGCAGATTCTTGGTGATCGCAACAGGGGGTAGGTTGCCCGTATATGTCCTTAATGTTGCAGTAAACAAGCAATATGGCTTATGCACCCTCTCTGGCAGGATCTATCTATGCTGTCCTGCTGGTTATTCTAGCCGATCTGCGTAAAGACGTCATACAATCCGTTGGTGACTTTGCTTGGACGGTCGCCAACGTTCTACGTGATCCCGACCCAAGTAAGTACTAACTCACTCCGGCGCAGCTCACCTCACACTAGTCTGCAGATACTGTGGCAGGTAGTATAGTCATTCAGCGTATCATCCCGGCTATAGACCGCGTGCGAGCGCAGCTACCTCTGCAATTTGACGCACTGTACTCTCCTCCCATGCTGGTAGAACTTGGCGTGGCATTGGACGCGCTTGATTGCTCCAATCTTGAGCACTCCGATAAATTGTTCGGCTCCCTAATACTCAAGTGAGCGTCCACAGACCTTTTGAACTTTGTGCTCTGCTAATTATACGTGGTGTGCTAGTAACTTTACTTCCGTGGATAGAAACCTGGAAATATGGGCAGCTTGCCTGCTTCCCAATCCCGATCCGGCCAGCGATGCGGTTCCGCTCACCCGGGCCAGTCAAAATCTCTTCCGTCGAAATGGCGACATTGAGGGCGCGATTGATCCCCCTCTCCCTTGTCCGATGTGTACGAAGATGAGGACGAGATCCTCGCTGAACAGTCCGATGTTGAGATGACGAATCACAACATACCAGGCATATGCGTTGTAATGAAGGACTTCGATCTCAGCCTCGATGTGCATCGTGCGTACCCGGTGCCCAATCTACCTGAAGAAGCCTTCACTTGGACGGAGACTCAGCGTTTGCTGGCTGCAGCAGCGCTGAAACCAGAAACGCCCACGGCATTGCAGGCCCTGGTATGTTCCCTTCGTTTGATCATACAACAGTGTACGCTCCTTCTCACCTGTAGCAACTGGTCTGTAGCTGTCACCGGCTGCTCCAGAAGGCCCCAGTGGACGGAAAGTCAAGGAATATGTTGCCATCAAGCCTGACCTGGCATCGTGAGTAGTTCCTCAACTATCAACTGCGTCTATCTCACCCTTTGAAAGGGGTCCCATTCAAATCGAGGATAGTAGAGGATCTCTCGTTGCATGCGTGTTCAACAACATGCCGCAAGAGATCCGCGAGATGCTCACTGTAAACTTGCTCGCTTGTTTTGAAGACCAGGCGGAGAATCTCAAAGAAACGTGCTCCTCATCGGAGGGAAGAGGTTTCAGCTTCGCGGCACTTCATTTCGCCTGGTATAACCGGCACAGGACAAGGGTCAGTGAATCCGTTTAACGTTCTACTGTTGGTATGTCACTTCGTGCTGAGAATGGGCTATCACAGGGACACGATGTTCCGGTCGACGCACACCCCATACTCATTGAGAAAGACGACAACACTCGAACGAACTACGGTCAAATGCTTCCCTACCCGTCGCAAGACACCGGTAAATACAAAGACATCTACAATAATCTGCAATCCGTCTTCCAAAAATTGTTTGAATGGATGGCTGAGCAGGTACGTCTCTCTATCTACCCACTGAACTGAGTGGCTGAATATATATACAGCTCAAGGACTCGCTTTGCTTGGAATATGACGACCTACGCATGGACGCGGAGGTATTACCGGGGAATGCCAGTTCTCTGGTCCATCCCTTCCTGTCACTCGTTGTCAACCTGAATGTGGCCACTCTGGCTCACAGAGACAAGCAGGATAAATCACTCTGTGTGGTCTTGGCGGTGGGAGAGTTTGAGGGAGGCGAGCTGTGTCTGTATGAGCCCGGCCTGGCCCTTCCTCTTCGAAATGGCGATTTCGTCGCATTTCCTTCATTGCGCGTTACTCATTTTAACCTCCACTTTACTGGGTGTCGCGCCTCCATCGTTCTGCACACGGACAAAGAGATAGACAGGTGGACAAAGGAAGGCCGTAACGGCTGGGCCGGCAATGCACATTTTTGGTAGCCTTAGCGCCCTGTACGTATGTTATGTTCCTCGGATGTACCTTGACTACCTACCCTGCAATAGAACCACGTCACCTTGAACTTTAACTATGTTGTGGAACGCTGCCCTCATGCTCTACCTCTACCCATAGCTCTTTGAATCGCTTGAGACCATAACCTCTTCGTCGGTCCTTCGGAGGGTGCGGACCTCAGTTCCGCGCATCTCCGCATCTCTGTTTTAGAAGCTCAAGGTCTTCTGTTATCGGCGAAACTTTGAAGGTAGACTTTCAACCTCTATTTCATCGTCTGCGCTCACTCTTTTCACGCTCATCATCTCACAACATGGGTCCCCGCAACACCCGCTCATCCGCAGCCGCGAACAAGGTCAAGACCCCGGTGGCGAGCAAGGCCAAGACCCCGGCGGCGAGAAAGTCTGCTGGTGCCGGGGTGGCAACCAAGTCTTCGTCCAGCAAAGCAGATTCCGGAGCTGATGCTGTACCGGTGCTGAGCTATGCAGCTCGGCTCAAGGCTATGAAGGAGTCGCTACGATCCCTATTGCCCAACCTGACAGCGCAAGAGCTGGACGCAATGGCTCGGTCGAACCTAGCCAAGGGATCAAAGGGGATCTCTGGGGAGAAGGAGCATCAGGATGGTACGTCCCCTACATTACTTTCTCACAGTACACAATGAGACACAGACATGCAGATGTGCAAGCCAAGAGCAAGGCGATGATGGAACAGGAGGGGACGATGACGATGCCATTGCTGAGGAAGAGTCGAAGGCTGGGGGGTCTGATGAGGATGAGCTAGTGATACCGTCAAAGAGCAAAGGGAAGAATCGAAGTAAGTAAAATCAGTTCGTATCAGTTCGTGTGGCGAGGGATGGTCTGAGGCTGCTCCAGGGTCACCGGGCAAGTCCACACCCATTACCACGCCGCGTAAGAGAAAAAACGTCCCTTCTTCTTCCGACAACGAGGACAGTGATGGCGAATCTGGGTCAGAGAAGCCGGAGAAGAAGAAGACCAGGACTCAACGCCAGGATCAGTTGGCGGAACAGGCAACAGCAGCGGGTGAGTTTGTCAGATAAGTTTCAGGATTGCGCATGCACTGGTAAGAAAACATTCATAAGAGCTATCAACAGGTAACAAACGTAAGATTGTGGAGGTCGCAATTAGTTCTGCGCCGAGAACGCAGGCTCCGAAGGACGAGGATGATCTGGCTGCGCACCTTGGTGAGAGAGCATACATCAGCACCGGGATAGCCTAACAATTTTCAGGCTCGAGGACTGTGAAGGCGAAGAAGAAAGCCGCTCCCATCGTTCTTGGCAGCGAAGATGAGGATGAGCTGGAGACCAGTGACAAGGAGGGGGTTCCCAGAAGGAAGGAGACACGGTCGTCGAAGGATGAAGGTGAGTACCACACATATCGGAGAAGGTACCTGCGTACGGTCAACAGATTCAGAGACCGTTTACAGGCAAACATGTGGCAAAGGGCAACTCCAGCAGGAGAGAGCCGTCTCCGATGGACGTGGATGACTCGCAGGACGGGGAAGGCTCTTCGTACAAGGGCTCCGACGGGGATGGCGAGGACGAGGATGAGAGCGCGGACCAATTGTTGTCGAAAGACGAGGAAGCTCCGAACGAGGTAAGCCATCTCCGCTAGTTGAACTGTGGGCTGAAACTTTCTTGGTCAGATCATTGTGAAGATGGAGGAAGAGTCCGAGTCGAAGGGTAGGAAGAGGAGGCAACCACGGAAGAAGGCAGACTCGAAGAAGTCCGAGGCGGGCAAGAATGAGCCTACCGCTGGCGCGTATGAGAAGCTCATGGAGGACGTCGATGTCCGCAGCCTTCTGGGGAAAGCCCAACAAGAGCTTAGGGTGTACCTTGCTCTGGAGAATGCTTGGCCTCGTATGAAGAAAGGTGTCTCCGAGAAGCATGCGGCGACTGCCAACATCGTTGAGCGGCTCATAACGAGCAATGTCAGTACCAGAGGGAGGACTTCCAGAAGAAGTTCGAGCCGAATTGGGCCTTCCAGAAGACAAAGAACAAGATCATCGCATACGTACGTGTTAGCTCCCCTCATCATTCAGTACTAACCATATTCATGTTTTCCAGGTGAACAAGGCTGCACCCCAGCTTCGGCAGGAGCTCAAGCAGAAGGCGAAGCGCGTGGTGGAGAAAGAGTTCTTGTCTATCAGGCTGCCCGAGGTTGGGGACGATGGTAAACCAGTGGATGCTGTCGAGCGCAACCAGAAGGTGAAGAAAGCCCGGGAGAATCGCATCAAGTTCTTGAAAGACAACAACACCTTTCACTACGGGCAGCTTGTGCTACCGGATCCCGAGGTTGACCCATCGGTAAGTCTTCGATCTTGAGCTCGCGGTGTGCTGCTAACTGACGCCACTCAGCTGTGGAGGAGCCAGACCTGGACATGCTGTTCCATGGTCTGTGCGTGGCCGAGGTCATCGCTAACCAATGGTTCCGCGGACAGAACCCGGACGTGTTTCGCCCGGCGTGCAAAGAACGGTTTGACCTTGGCGGTGCGTTGAAGATCATCCCAAGCAACATGATTGCCCTGGCGTGCAGTGCGGTGAGTAATTATGCCTACTGATGTGCCATTAACAAGCTTGACGATCCGAATGTCAGATTCTCGTGGCCTTGGACGAGTGGATGAACGACAACAACACGGTGGAATTCCAGGTGAAGGTGTACGCCCCAGCGTAGGCCACATATTACAGTCATCTCACAGGATAGTTCTGACACTCAATAGGTACGATCGCCTGCTGTCTGGCGTGGAGATGATCCATTGGTTGGCCAATCCGAACAACAAGGACTATGACGAGGGCTGGGGAAAACCTCTCGGAGTCCCTGAACGCCAGTCTGTCCAAGAACATCAGGTAGGCGGCTGACTTTATTTGATTACATTTCTAACAATTGTTCAGGGTGTTCGCTGGGCTTCGGGTGGATTCGCAGAGTGGGCAAGGCGAGGAGAAGTCCAATGCGGACCTAGACCCTCTCATCAACGCTGGGAAGGTGAAGGCTAGGTGGCAGTCGAGGGGTGGTGCTCCCGACAACGCTCAGGCTGGGCTGTCCAAATGCTGCGTCCAAGGATAAGGCCTAGGTGCGTGGGTTATCTCATCAGTAGGTTGCAAGACTGAGCTATCCCACAGGGCTCTGATGTTGGAGGGTCGCTTGTAAGATACTGTCTTTCATCTCTCTCCTCATCTTTGCTGGCATCGTCTTTGCTGGCATCATCCTCACGCCTATCATCTTTGCTGGCGTCATCCTCACGCCTATCATCTCCGCTGGTGTTATTGTTCTCTGTTGTTGTACCGCTCTCCGCTGCCCTCCAATGATATCCAGCCCCCTCACGTTGTATCCATGTCCACCGCATTCGCATACCCGTCGTGTAGGATTGCCGCTGTGTACTGTCGCCCATCACGCCATGTACGAAATTGATATATTTATGACAGCTAATTCATGAATGTGCATTATCCGGGCTGGTAAATAATTGAGGAATAACAACCCTGAGGGAACGGTGGCCCTGAAACCGTGTGCTTTGAATCAAATGAGAGAGAACAAGAAAGTCATTAAACATATTTTGGCAATCCTCTGAAGACATTTCAATCATACCAAACTCAAATGTTCCCCCTGGAAAGCACTGCTATGGATGTATTCATAGTAAAGACCAAACCATAGCAATTTGATTCAAGCAAACGAGGCAATCTTGCAACAGGTTCGATATATTTTTGACACCTTTAAACAGGGGTACTTGTATTGAGTCATGTTTGAACAGTTTGACCGCTTCAAACCGGTTTGGCTATCTTCAAATCAATTCTAAGAGCTCCTGCCCTGCGGGCGGTTTTTTCCTGATGAAGTTCCCAGAGGCGGAACGCACGTCCGCTGCCCCTGCACGTCCACGAACACTGTACCCAGGACCCTAGTTGCCTTTTCCCCCACCCGCACCTTCGGAACCGCACTTCTCATCTGTTTGCCGAGAATGCAATGTTCACATTTTGCTGGTGGGGAGAGGATGATGGGCATACCTGTGACTGACCCGAGACGAGCCATGTTGTGAATGGTACGATGGTTGACGTGGCCCAGGCGGCGGTGCCAGACTTCGAGCGGCGGAGCAATCGGACGAAGGTCGTGGAAGTCGGCCTTATGAGGAGACAAGTGCGTGGAGGCGCCCGAGTCGAATACGAAAGGCTCAGTCCCAGCAGTAGAGACACGGCGAGCAGCCACAGGCACTGGAGCCACCGAGAAAGCAGTGGGATCAGACGGAGCCCGAGAGTGTGAGGACCAGTTCAGAGAGACAGCCTCTTCGTCTTCAACAGACACCAGAGCTTCGTACTCGAAGAGGTCAGCTGGCACAGCAACAGACACGAGCCATTCGGGAGACGCGTCAGTCGTCAGCCCAGCGAAGTCGGACTCGGACGGCGTGGCGTCATCACCTGAGAGGTAGAGGACATGGATGCCGGTGGGACCGTGCTCAAGAGATAAGCGTGGCCGGTCTTACCATCCACGATGTACGCCCGCCCATCTTGTCACGGTCGGTCCCGAGGCGGCACCGGAGCTAGCCTTGCCCGGTCCCTTCCCCTTTTTCTTGTTCACCGCACCTCCTCTCGGACGTCCTTCCATTCCTCCACCCGGAGCCCAGCATTCCGGAGCGGTATGACCGTTCGGACGCGGGCACTTAGCGTTGGTGCACGTCTTCTGCGACGGCATCGACTTCCCGGGCTTCAAGTAGGCGGCGAGAGCCGTGGCGGACGAGGACGCCTTGTTGTCTGAGATGATGCGCTGCTCGAGATTGAGGCACTCGCGATGTCGACGGAAGTGTAGGGGACGCCCGAGGTGACTGAAGTCGTGAGGGACGTACCGACTTGCGATTGGAGGTGACTAAGGTAGCCGTTCATCGCGTTGAGCATTCCTATGGTCATGAAGACCTCGATGTTGGGGATGCCGATATGGAAGATATGTTCCGCGAGCTCCTGGAGTCGCGTGGTCGTCTCCGAGAAATGTTCCTCGGCTGTGTAGCGACAGGAGAGGAAGTCCTGGAGTAGACGAACCTGGGCGTACGCCCCGGGCTGCTTCTTGTGACGGCCGCAGAGAGCGATCCATAGAGGGCGCGCGTTGGTGAACCGAGCTATGAAGTGTTGTTCCTCCTTCGCGGCCTTCGAGCTAAGAAGAGCGATGATCATCTGCTCGTTCCTGCGGAAGTTGATGACCGAGCGGGGGTCGTCGTCGTCGGAAGGAACGATCTCCTCGCCAGACAGGTAGCCCCACGCGAAGCAGATCTTCAGTGAGTTCTCGATATATGTTTTCCAGTCATACCAGTTATCCTTCTTACGATCGAGGATGACACCGCCGTTGAGTAGAGACGATGGTATGTGGAGGAGCTTGATCTTCTCCTTGGCGGTCGCCTTGAAATCAATCTTGGGCGCCGGAGATAGATCCGTTTGAGCTCTCGGCGTTTTGGGCACCGAGACCCTGGGACTCGAGGTCGGGGTATTCGTCGTTGGCCGAGAAGGTGGCTATATGCGGGGAATATGCGGGGTAGGCACACTTTGATGGGTGCCTCAAACTTGTTCCGAGGTCTGAATAGCTGAGGAGAAGCCTCAGGTAAGCGGGCGGGTCAGAAACACCGTCCGGGGCTCATAACCTGTAGAAGCTAAATCATCGGTCAGACGCTCAGTCGCGGTACAATTTGACTGAGCATTGATCTACCTAAATCGTCGGTCAGACGCTATGTAGGTAGTCAGTACAATCCTAACGTATAGTAATGGTTTGGGTCTCACCTCAGTCGCGGTACAATTCGACTGAGGAGAAGGGAAGGGGGAGAGACGAGAAGACGAACCGCCCCCGGCGGTACGTCACGTGCCCGGTGGCGGAGATCGAGATCGCGGCGCGAACTCAACAGTTCTCAGGGTGTCTCTGCGAAGCTCAGGGAGGCGGCGGAGGAATACTTACTTAGGGCTTTTAATTTGGATACATAATCTGTCGTTACTGGTTACTACAATGGAAAGAGTTCGTCAAGTAGATCTAAACGTTTCTGCAGGCCCATTCTCTTCAACCATGCCTCCGTTTCATGCTTGGGTACGTCTGCATGGTCGTGAAAATGACATGAACAAGGTCAGGGTCTATCACCGCGTCATCCAAATCCTCTGCAGTCCAATCATCCCGTGGATCGAAGCTGAGGATGTCTTCTGGCTTATCCCCCCAATCGATGGCAAGATTGTGAATAACCATCATGGCTTCAATTGCCTTGCGGCCTCTGGCTGGGCATAGCACCGAGGAATGGGTTGCAATCACTCAGACGGAGGACATCAATGTCTCGCCCCGCGTTCATTCCGCGTTAGGCAGGTGGACCGGGATCGGATCGGACCGATCTGAATCTGAGACCACCTACCAAATGGAGCAGGTGGGCCGGGGTAGCCGACGAGCGAGCACCTCGCTCTCGGATATCTCCCGGCTGATAAGCTCTTGATACGGGTATCGTATCGCGTAGCTAACGAATCAGTTAGCCCTGTCCCCGCATACACGCAATTTACCACTGCCCACCGTCCCCTTTCCTCGTTAAGGTAATCATCCCCCTCCTCCTCTCCATTGCCCAAGTCCGGTATCCCTCGAGCAGCGCACGTGCTACGTGGCTGAGGGCGCTCCCCTCAAGATCACGGATCTTCCCGATCCCGGGCGTCGCGCCCGACGTTTGGTAAGCCGACGCCACGCCCGCTGAGCTCGCCGCCACGCGCACGGGCCCATCGCATCGCGCTCACCGTCGACGACCATGGCGGGCCCGTGCGGAGATCGGGTCCGCGTTGACTCTGATGCGCGGCTGGGTGGCGCGTTCCCGAGCCTCGCGGCACTCCCACGGTCGTTGATCGGGTGATTCCCACGCGCGCTCGCCACCGCGTCGGGTGCTGTGCTCGCTGTCGGTGACGACGAGCACGAATATCTCGCTCCCTTCTTCTTTTCTTCTCGCAATATCTTGGGTCATACATTTAGTAGTGATACTTACACTGTATATAAGCTTACCAAGTGTATACAATGTGTTATTACCTCGGAATAGTATGACTATCTCCTCAGTGATGCCTACCTAATACCCATCAATAGAGCGGCCAGAAGTGGCATAATATACTCTAATAAACTCTAGAAAACTGCTATGATTATCCACAAGCAACACATAGTGCTTGATGAAGGATTACTGGCCCCAAAATGCGAAACTTCGCCACAAGGGGGCATGCATAACATTACAACCACTCCACTGTAGCTCATGAAAGCTCTACCAGTATGTTGCAAGCACATTCATGTACTGTTTTGTGTATACTCACAGTATCAGGACTAGTATATGTGCCTCAATGTCATGAGAATGTTCACATGTACAAAAAGCATATTCATTCATTTGGAGCCTCTACATGCATCCAGACATTATGACTACTTCTCAGAATTTACATTGGCATCATATGTGTATGTACTTACACTTACAATAAGCTTCTGAGATGAGATGACAAGGGCATTCATCAATTGGCTATAGGGGGCTATAGGAAGGAGAAGAACTTATCACATCATCTCCTGTGGTTGGATTGTCTCCAAACTTGGTATGCAACATGTGTTGTATATCTAAATGCTATGTGTGAAGTCTCTTGGGGATTGGACAAGCAGGAGGTCGTGTAGAGCGAGACGAACATCGTCTCGGGCAGTTCGGGGACATGCCCGAAGCGGTGCCCGAGTGAACATCGCTCGAGTGCATTGCACACTTAACGAGCATACGGGCGCTTTCACGCCACTACGACCACTTCTGCATACCGACCCCCGGCTGTCACGCCATTGACTCCAAACAACCTCGGACAAATACTAACATTGATGTACTATTAGTGGGTCCTATTTCCGTTTTATCCGACACCAATCAAGGACGAGGTGCACGATTCCAACTCACTCCTTTTCTCAGCCACTAGGTCAGCCACCAGCGCGAACATCATCGCATCGCATGGTATGCATACAATCCTGTTATGATTTAATACCCCAGCATTGTTGGTTAGAACTTATAGATGCTAAAACTCTAAAGATCTGTGTATATAGGTGCATTAGCTGCTGTGCAACAGAGCCAGCCATAT